GTTCCTGAACTTTTGAAAAAGTGGTTTCGCGTTTGAAAGCCCCGACAATGTTTTTCACTAAGTCACCATGTTACCTGTGACCTCCTTACACTGTGTGAGAGTATGTGTGTGTGGCTTAGTGTCCTATGGTATGCAGGTATTTTTGATCATGCATATCAAGAATGGGGCCCCCAACAGGTAAATTGAAAGAAATGCTATCACTGGGTCATGAAGGAATTTTCATTTTATCTGGGGTTTCTGTTCTGCTGTTGGTGTGAAATGTGTCAATAGCATCAGCTTGTCATAGAAGTCATTTGATCCCTACATCTTAACAATAGAATCAACTATCTTTTGATTTGGATGAGTCAGATTCTGATTATAGGGGATGGCAGGTTAAAGCCTTGTTGACACGTGAGAACAGATAACAATACATGTGCTCAGGTGTGTAAAGTGTATACACCCCCATAGAGGTTTTACCTGTTAGGTAGTGGTCAGTTTTACCTGTAGGTTTGGACAATGATAGGATACCAGTCTAATGAAGGTCATTAAATTTATAATGTAGGGGATAATCATCAGGACGTGTAATACCACTGTTTCTGATGGTACCTGTTCAGCAGACTTGGCACTCATAATGGTAAAAAGTTGACAGGTGAGGTCAAATGTATTAAGCAAATTAACAAGAGTTTTAGTTTACTTGCCATATTTAAAATTAAGTAGAAATGACATAATAAAGTCAGTTTCTGTTTTATAATGTTAATAACTTAAACCTTTTATACTTACTGTTACAATAACCATCAGGATTTCATATGTGAAAAACAAAAATTGAACCAGTCCATGTAGACATCTCAGTGAAATGTCAAATTCAAATGAATGTTCTGACCATATTTTCAGTGGCTTAGAGATGAAACCTGGCCCCAGGGATTGACATGGTAGTGTTATATTACTTGCTTAACACTTGTATATGTGTGGTTTACCTGTACAGCATGTTACATAATTTCATGTCTACTTATTTGACCAGTTACTGTGTGTCCACACTGACCACTACTCTATCTGATACAGCATAAGTAGATTATAAAGACTTGTCCATTTTATGTGGAGGGCAGACAGGATGTTTAGTAAACAACCTAGAGCTACCTACTTTAGAATAAAATGTTATATATATATGTAATGGTTAGCTCAGAAGGACAGGGGCATGTCCTATCCAGTGAGTTTAATAGCAGTGAATAGATTCATAATACTGGCACGTCATCTATAGTGTAGATGTGCATGCATGGACATTTTTGTTATGAAAAAAACAGGCATATTTTGTAGCCAAAAAAGTTTAAAGCAAGACACAGTAATGATTTCAAACAGCTTGCAGTATTTCTGAGGTGAGCATCTTTACATGGTACTTCTCTATAGTAAATTGATTGGTTTATATGGAGACAGGGTATCCTTATATATGGTAGATGGTGGTTACCATATTGAACAACATATGGGAGGTCTGTCACATGTCACCCAAAGCAATCTGGGTAAAGTGTCCTGTCATGCCCTAGTGCACAACCATATTAGCGTAGATCAATCCATTTCTCAGTTTTCTGAGAAACACATACTGTGTCAAATTGTCCACCATGGATTATCACATGCTATTACACAAGCATCCTGTGTCTGATTCTTTGGTCCTCTATCTGTCGACAATCCTAAAAGCAATTCTTTCTCTCACTATTTCTTTAGAAGCACTAAATGGAATTTCTCTCAGATTTCATATGTAGGTTCCCCTTGGTACCTTTGTTGTGCCATTTTGATTTTAGGACTGGTCTGAAAAAGCAAAATGGCCAACATGCAACTATCTTTGATTAGACAGTTAAAGATTATTTTTGCTATTTCTTAGAGTAAGTTCATTAAATTTCATACATTTAAAATCAAAAACAGGAAAAAAGAATGGAAAATAACCAACTTTTAAAAAACGATGAAAGATCCATCAATGGTGGGCACCAAGATCCTTCTGGGATCTCATTTACACAGTAATACAGGTACATCAAGTTGTACACCTTATTGAATTTTGATGGTCATTAGCAAAGGTGAAGGCATCACACTGGACCACATTTGGAGGAAGGATAGTTTGTGTTGATGTCTATGGTCTGTTGATTTTATTTTTTTGAAGTGCAAATTTAGCAGTTACTGTTATATTAATTGTTAAAAAACACATAAAAAGGTCGGCGTCATTTGAAAATCATCATTATGCACAGATCTATAGTAGGTATCATGCATGATATAAAACCAAAGGTTATCTTAGATATAGTAATGGTCATTGATGTGAGTTTGTTAGGGACAGTTAAATACATCCAAGTGGGTATAAACATTTTGCTGGTTAGTCATCACACACTGCAAAAGTTTCTTCCTGGGTTGTGAAATGGACGTGTGACTTGCGGCTGGAGGCTGTATCCCAATGGTCAGTACTAGACAGATATACAGGAAGACTGGACAAATCATGATGATGTAATGGATGTTTATGTCAAACTCATTACTACCTGTAACAGGTTGGTACTTAAATCCATCATTTCAGGTGTCTCCCACCAAATGAGCTGGAGCATGCATACTTTGGTCCAGTAATACTATTCCTTGTTCCAAGTTATGCTGTATGCAAGTTATGTTTTCAAACTATATTTTCTGTCTGTTTTGAATGGACGTTATCAATGAAAATGATTCGTTTTAGTGAAAGTAATATTAAGCTTCATCAGATAATACCATTTACCAGCCTCTACATAGTAACAATTTGTGCCACCTAACCACATCAACATAGTAACAAATGATGCCACATAACCACATCAACATAGTAACAAATGATGCCACCTAACCACATCAGCATAGTAACAATTTGTGCCACCTAACCACATCAGCATAGTAACAAATGATGCCACCTAACCACATCAACATAGTAATAATTGGTGCCACCTAACCACATAAACATAGTAACAAATGATGCCATTTGAAGCACACAGTAGTACAAATGATGACCATGTGATAAGTTACTTAATTGTCATCTTGAAAAATTGTCATTATCACCTTGACACATTGTTGAAAGGAAGGGCTTATTAAAGAATAAAGAAAAGACAGATTCATAATGTTGTTATGGAGCAGTCAGATGCATATTGAATTTCTCAATTTATCAGTGTGGCTGACATTCACCAGAGAGAACACAGAGTAAACTAACAATCAGGTAGTAAAATACTGTAATAAACAATCAAATAATGAAATCCAATAGTTTAATGTACTTCAGCAAATATGCAGAGGTCAACATGCCACCTCCAAATGATTTTGCTGCTCTGTAAATTTCCTTATACAGAGTTGCTTGTGCTGTTGTGCTACCCAGATACGCCTCTTCACTAACCACATTGACCTCAAGTCACAAACTCCCATTCACAGAAACAAGGGTACTTGAGCGTCTCTGAAGAAAAACAAAATAGCAGTAGCAGGCATTTTGTTGTCGGAGGATCAAAAGGGACCTAACTGTGATGTGTTGAGGATTTGCAGATTTGTCCTTGGAGGTCCAAAAAAAGGGCTGACATGATATATTTTATAATCAATGAAGTTGTCAAATATGAGAATTGCAACAAATTGGATGAAAGGGACTTCAATTTAACGGGAAGGGATGTTTTCATTACAAACATGGGGAAGGAGGGAAATACTTTCAAAATAACAATGAGACTTGATTGGGATGACCCAAAAAAGATATATTTTGAGAAAAAAATGATGTAGGAAATAAGCTACCACAGAAGTTTTAAAAATAGCTTTGACCATTCATGAAAGTTATTAAAGATGAAAGTCTTATTGGTTCATTAAGCCTCAAGATGATTTTTTTTATTAAAGTTAACTTTGAAAGAATTTATCTGATAGAAACATGTGAAATTTGTTAATGTTGGCTATTACCATCAAATGAATGTGTAATGCTGGTGTATGAGGTGCTTCATGATCAGGTTTTGAAATCTATCTCAGGTAGGTTGTGTAGAGTGAGTTTATGTATAATGTAACCTAGATCTTGAATCAGGCGGTTTGCAGGTATTCTCACACTCGGGTATGAGGTATTTATATACCTGTACTCTGATCGCACAATGGTCGTGTACACACACGAGATAGGCTGTGTCATTGGCTTACCTAAAACCAGTCAGGATTAAAATCTGACCCATTGGTACATAAACGACCCTCAAATCAGGCACGGTGCTCACATATACACACGAATGAAATACAGAGCCATATAAACACCCACCACACAATACACATGCATGCATGTAGAGGTTAGGTTTCAGGGATAAGAAAAGGCCGGAAATGTGTTCACGCAAATTTGACTAAAATCTCTGTCACATTTCTGTTGTTGAATATTTTTCACATTCATGAACTCTTCCATACTTTAAAGTAAGGAAAAAAGAGATAAACCCTTTTGACCATTGAAATGACCAGTACCTCCTCCAGCTCCCTTATCTATGTTGGGGGTGAGGGGAGAATGTGAATAACGGTGACCAAGTTGGTTTCCTGGCCAGGTACTGTAATTGGGGTTCAGGTAATCGACGGGCATACCTGGTGACACGCACACTCATGGCAGATCAGCTAGTACAGGTAGTCCCAGCTCTATTGACCGTGTGCATGATGCGTGTCTTTGCATGCTAGCGCTCCATAGTCGTGCCTGCGGGGCCGAGAATTTGACAGGGAATGCAAGTCACATGACCCCCTAGATAGTCTCAAGTTGGTTTAGCCACGAGGTATACTTGTTTGGTATATTTTGTATACCAGGTATGCATTCTCAGCCTTGGGTCGACCAGGTATGTGTGTATACCTGGCCATGTGACTGAAGAGACGCACAGCATGACCCGAGGCTAGTGTGAACGTTTTACACGCACAATGTTAGAGTGGACTGGTCAATAGCTGGTCAGTGGTCAGACATGTACACAAATTGCTAAGAGAACCTGTTCTCATGCTGGGTTATATATAGAATTCCAAGTGACACGTGAGGGATTTATATTTATATATTCACAAGGCAGTCAGACATGTCCATTCTACCTACCTCAGATCAAGTCAGAAAAAACAACACATTGCACCCCTCCAGTTCAGGTAATCATGTATATATATGTCATGTAGATATGTATGTGGTGTAACAGTGTACACACATATACTGTAAACTGTGTTTACCTGTATATCTAATCTACAGTTACTTGCTCAGAGTACAGAATCTTACTTTTGATTTATAAAAGTGGTTGTCATATATTTATCAATAGTTTCAATTAATATTGTAATTGTGGTTTGTAAGTAATTAAGATTGTTTTAAAATATTGATAAGTTGTTGAAACTATTACATGTAGTTTTGATGTTGACAAGTCAGCTTTAATGCTTGACATCCTAGTATACTTATACTTTGAATCTGTGTTTACAAATGAACTTTTTGGGGGAAAGCAACATTAGCTTGACAAGTAGGTGATGTGACACTTTAAAATGTGTGACATGTATATATGATAGATTTATATCAGCGTGTATCAATTATTTTGTTATTAGATGGTTGTCACGATTCTGATAATGTGGTAAATATGTGTTTTATCATTTATAAGACAGTAGTTTGTGTAATTTTATGTTATATTTGACAACTGTATGTTTGTTTGTTGTAAAAACGTTGAATAGCTCTGAACTAAAATACACTCTCCTACCTATATAATTACACATGTATATAATCTCTTATCATATAACTGGCTCATGCCGGTGTCCATTACAGAAAAATGCACTGGATGAAATATTATGGCATGCCGCTTTTGCCTCCTACGTCACATTTCAGTGACAACACACTATAAAGTGGTGCTGAAGTTGACCTTTTTTTAAGTTGGCACCATCTTTATAATGACTTGTAAACAATGTGTTGATATGGTATTGATTAAACAAAGCAATCCACTCCAAAATACGCTATGTATATACATCTGTGTTTTAATCTGTACCTGGTATATCCTTCAGCTAGGCTGTGGCATCACCTACCAAAGCTTAATATGCAAATATGTTCATGGAATCATTTTACATAAAAAATAACCTTTAAAGACTTGTAAAGAATTATTTCCATATTGTGAAAACATTTTTTATATGTGAACAAAAAAATCCCTAATGCAATACAAAAGGTTAAACTTTAAAATAAAATTCAAATAAGTAATCCATATTTTTTAATATGATATTATGCACATCTCGGAACATTATATTTGTCCTTTTTTCCTATACTTTCTTCTAAAACTTTTGAAAGCTCTTTATCAAATATTTCTTGACACACTAAAGTTCCGTTCTGATGAGTAATTGATTTTTTTATGCATAGATTATATGAGAGGGTGTTAATGGGGAGCTAATTTGATTGATGATGAGAGATAGAATCAACTCCATGCTACAATACTGTTATGGTAATTGGTTTTCATTGGCTGATGTCTTTAGATAGGAGACTGGAAATGGGGCATTTTTAATTATACAGGTCACCTTTTGTGTAATTACCAGTTTATTGTTAAACACATAACAGTACTGACTCTGCCTCTAGGCCATATAATTAATAGCTCTGATATATTATAACAGCATTATCACAAACAATTGATAATCATTCATCCTTATTTGCTGGTTTTTATAGGGTAAGAAGTTATTGAACCACAAACAGGAAGTGAAATGATCAATCCTTTTATCTTTTGGTCTTAAGATATTGATGCTTGATAAACATTTCACCTAATTTCTTTTAGAAACTTCGCAGTTAATATTTTCAAAATTACAAGTGTAGATTTACCAATAGGACAAAATATGGTGACAACAAGTTCATCTGTGCCTAATAAACAATCTTATGATAAACAGTGCAAAATATGGAACAGTTTTATTGAAATTTTAATGTTTTTGTGCTTAAAGAGAGGTTTAAGATCATGAAATGTATCATATAGACACATGCTATATGTTATACAAACACATGTAAATACATGTATTTCCCAGTTTGGCACCTGTTTCAGTCATTAAACATCACAGGTAGAGAAAATAGCTGTGAGCATGTTTCTGAGATTTTTCAAAGTTGGTTGTTGACCAATAAATCATGATAAGATCTGTTTGGACATCAGTTGACCGCTGGTAGTTTATATGTTATATTTGATTTATAAATAATATATTCACGCTAAAATTGAAACCACCTGTTTGCATTGTTTGCTTTGTTACCAATGCAGTAACCAATCAAAAGATTTGATTAATTCTTGTACATGTTAATAAATTTTATCCTATTTTTGTTTTACATATGAAATAGACAGATGAATTTATATGATTTTATACTATTAAACAACAGTGGGAAGACTTTTGATATTGAAATAAAAACTAATTAAGACTTATTAATTAACGGGAGGTGGGTGTGAGGGGAAGACGGGAGAATACAGGATGTTTTCTCCTATTTTCAATCAGATAGGATTATTAATGCACTGTTCAGGGTAATATAGAATGTTCCATATCTCTACTTTTGCAGGTGAAGAAGAAGATGAAAGCCCCACAAAAGCTTCAAGGAAGTCTTCTGTTCACAAAAAGGCAATCTCTGATGACAACGGGAACATAGTGACTCCATTACGCACCACCAGGGTAACACGTAGTAAAGGAGCACCACCTTCCGGGAAAACTCCTGGTCATGTGACTCCCAGGAAGAACGAAAATAAAGCAGAGAAACAGAAAAAGGAAAAGGAAGTACTAGTTGAGGATGAGAGCAGTGAGGGGAGCGAGGACGAAGATGAAGTAAAGGAAGATGATAAAATAGAAAAGGAACCCTGTGATAAGTCAGATGTAAATGACGATGATTCAGAGGATACAAAGGATAAAAGTACTGAACACATTCCTAAAGACATTGATCCCTTGAATAAGGAGAAAGTAGAGGAAGATTCCATTGTTGAGGACCAAACTTCAGAACATTCAATGAAAGATTCTACATCTGACAATGAAACAGACAATTTACTTATTGATGAAATATCAAATAAAGAAAAAAGGGATGTATTGAAAGACATTTCGCCAGAGAAGGAGTCTGGGAGTCTGTGTGATAAAGAAAGTGTATGTGATGAGGTTAAAGGTGAAGAGGGAGAGATGAATGAGGCAGAAATCTTACAGGCAGGAAATTCATGTGATGATGGTGATCAAAGTGATCCCAGTTTTGAGAAGAAAGAAGCAAAGATCAAAGACAAAGAATCAGAAAACAATGACAGTGAAAAGGAGGATGAAATGATGGAGTTAGAGGAGGAGGAGGAAGAAGGACAGCTGTGTATAGATGAGGCAAGTGATGATTGTGAAACAAAGAAGGATATGAACAGCCAAGGGGAGAGTACTCTGAATAAAGGGTTCAGTAGCCCACTTAAAGACAGGACTTGTGAGTTTTGTTCTGTGGTGAAGAAAAGTCCTGCAGACCTCCAACGACATATCCGCAAACACACAGGGGAACGTCCATTCAAATGCAAGGTATGTTAGTAGGAAATGCAGCTGCAGAATTTTGATATGGCATGATATTTTTTGTATTAAGATATGATTTGTTGAGTTTAGTGAAAATACTTTTTGTGAAGTTATTTGACTTTGGTTTATAGCAAAGACTTTATTTGTTTTCAGATGTGCAGTCGTATGTTTAAAGCAAAGCGAAGCCTTCAGTACCATCAGTTCATGCATCATGGTATCAAGAGTGAAAACAGTAACATATCCCAAAAGTATTCCCTAATGCGGAAGCGAAAGTTAGAGATGGATCAGCTACGAGCTGAGCTCATCTCTCCAGATGGAACCAAGCGCTTCAAGGGGGATGACTCGCCAGATGTAACAATGATGGATGGTATGACGAGGCAGGATGGAAAAGACTCAAGCACAAGCCCAGAGAGTGGTGCCGATGTGGAATGTCAGAGTGATCGCACTTGTTATGTATGTGGCAAACTCTGTCTCAAACCAAGTGACCTCAAACGACACATGATGTGCCATACAGGGGAACGTCCATTCAAGTGCGATGTAAGTACAATGTTATTGAGCTGTCAAATTGTGACTTTTCATTTGTCTGGTCCTTTCAGTCATAGGTAAGTAGCATGTTTGGTATGAAGCTGGTATCAGTAGAATTTCTGTTAGGTTTTATATGGGATTAGTTAATTTCTCTCATAAACAAGTCAATCCAAATCATGATAAATGTTTGAAGCCTTCTTGTTGCAACTGAAAAGGAAACTTACTGATTTGATGACTATTTGTTGTAAATAAAATTATTGGAGCAAAATTGGAATCTTTTGAAGGAAGGATTGGGGCGGGGGGGGGGGGGGGGGGGGGGGGGAAATAAAACCAATTCAAATATACCCGGAATCAAACACTGATGATGATATGCTGTTAATTAGTCAGTTACTACCTGTTTAATTACAAATCTGAATATTTATTAAAGTTTGATACCAAATTTGTTACACAATATAACTTGTTAAAGTTATCTGAATCATATTGTCTTTTCAGATCTGTGGAAAACCATTTCGTGCAAAGAACAGTATGCTTTATCACAAAAAGTCAGCTCATGGATTTGACATTGAACTCAGTCCAGGTCTCGAGGAACGCTTCCTTCGACTGAAAAAACAAAGTAACCTTAACTCTATAGCATCCAAAATGGCCCATCCCAACCTGGAAAACACTCCAAAACCTCCAGTTTCAAACGGTTCTGAGGTGGACATGGGGGATGTTGACTCTGATGAAACGTCATCCATACCAAACTTAGACAGCTACGCTATGGATAAGAATGATAAAGTCTTCTACAGTTGTGGCTACACCAGTTCTTTTCAGGATGATGAAGTAGAGCTAGACGAATCAACGGGGTTGTTCAAGCATAAGATGCTAAATGGAAGTCAGTGCATATTAGAAAAACCTGATGATATGCTGGTGAACTCCAATGACATGTTGGCAAATTCCGACAGTATGGATACGCCAGATATAACACAAATGATCAAGGATGGATCAAGTATGGTTGGGGCTGAAATCATCCACGGATCTCACTTCACTAAAAATAGAATCAGTATCCGCAATGAGACCGTCCTCGTCACACGACTGGATGGCGTGAACATGACAACTGGCAAAGAAATATGCCTGTACAAATGCTACTTATGTGGAAAGGTGTTTAATTATTTGAGTAAAGTGCAGTGCCACTTGTCAATGCATTTTGAAAAAGATATTGTGATTTTTCAGTGCCAGTTATGTAAAGCCTCATTCTGGTTTAAAAACCAAGTGATGCAGCATATTCGAAAAAGACATCCATCTGAGGTTGACAATGCGAGTAAAAGACAAGAAAACGAGTGTAAAAATAATGATGCTGACAATGACACGTCTAACTCTGACATGGATTCAGGAATTCAGGTAAAGTCAGAAGGGAACGACGAAAACAGTGATGAAAGAGAGGGTAGTTCATCTCCAGTGGGTAGCAAACTCAAAAAGGACGATATATTCAAAAAAGAAAGTGAGGATCGTGAAAATGAAATGTTGTGTCGATTTTGGCGTGGATTGAAATATCGAAAGAACAGTAACGGTTCCTATGTGTGCCTGGTGTGTCGCAAGTCATTTCACCGTGAGATTTCCCTACTCAAACATATCAAAATACACAGTGGACACAAACAGTGCTATTGTCAGGAGTGTGGCAAGGGCTTCTCCGAATTCACGGCTCTACGCCAACACTTGACCCTTTTCCATGGCCTTCGAGACAACCACCAAACAGTTAAACCCCATATCAAAGCCTCCACCAAACATTCACTTCTGTCAAATCTTTTGAGTAAGAAGGCTGGTAAAGAGGCAGACACAGACGTCCACAATTCTACTCGTCAGTCACAGGAAGAACATGCACGCCAGTTACTCATCAAAGAAGGTATACAGGAGGATGTAACTGTGGTCATGCCTTGTGGGCCGGATGATGACCCAGATGTTGATGATGGTCCCCGCCTGTTGGATGTTTGGTCTGAGAGAGATTCGGAGGAGAGCAGTGAAGCTAACAGTCAAGATGGGATGGTCACTCCTCTGTTACCTAGACGCTCATTAGGAAAGGAAACAAGCAAGTCAAAAAGGAAGTCTTCACAACCGGTGAAACTGCATAATGCCTCCATCCCACCACCTGCTCCTTTACAGGTGTCTATTCCAACTCCAGCACCAGCTGTTGCCCGTGTTCCAATGCAGATCCCAACACGACTCCTCATCAATGGCGAGGCTGCAAGAGCGGCTGTTGCAACCTTACCTGGAAGAGTAGACCTGCCTGGCAATGTACAGATCAAACAGGAGCCACTGTCACCAACAGCTGATGTGCCTACCACATCTGTAACAACATCCAACATGGTCTCTACAAATCCCCAAGTGACTCAGTTTCTAATGAACTCTGGCCAGATGATCTTGACCAGTGGTAGTGGATCAACACCTGGCCAACCTCAGCCTATGATGCTTTTGTCCAATTCGGCCTTCCCCTCTCCTATCCCTGGAAACATTATAGGTATGGTACAGGTTGCAAACACAGCTAATCAAATTTCAGCAAAAGACCCTATGCCCTCAGACAGCTCTACCCCAATGTCATCAGATCCATCCCCAATCAACTCAGATGGTAATGACCGGGAAACCCTCGTGGGATTCCCTCGCGTCCAGTGGTCACCAAACGAAACTCCTCCTACCTCAGGCTCTGGCTTCACTTGGAGCCAGATATCTGCTGATGGGCGCAAAGTTACCTCCCTTTCTCGTACACATTCAAGGTATATTGCTTCATAATTTTATTTTGTGTTAGAATATTATTGAAATATATACATGAATTCATTCTTTTTTATAAAAAAAATAGAAGGACTATTTCACTTGAAGTTATTCAAATTTTTTCAATAGATTTGGGAATAGTTACTTTATTGTATCTTGTGATAATGCCCTTGAATAGAATCATCATCAGAATAACAGGCATATTTCGTCTCGATTTCATGATAATAGGATTGGGAGTTACTGTGAATATTAGAGAAGATACCAATGGTTACTAAAGATATGTTGATATAGGCTGTTGATCATTAGAGACTGGTTGTCCGACAGGTGGTCAATGTAGACAGTTGGTCATTGTAGACAGGTAATAGATATAGACCAGTTGGTCATTGTAGACAGGTAATAAATATAGACCAGTTGGTCATTGTAGACAGGTAATAAATATAGACCAGTTGGTCATTGTACACAGGTGGTTAATGTCGACAGTTGGTCATTGTACACAGAAAAAGAAAAAAATGGCAGGGCCCACATTTGAAGTCATTTCAAATCAAAGAGGGAAAGCAGCTATGTGGACCCATTTCAGACTGAAAAGAATGCAACCAGTGAAATACTATACAATATAATGGGATAAAATTGTTTGTTATTCACAGTAGTCGCAATATCTTGCAATATTGGATGAAATATTTCTATATGTCACAATAAGATTTTCACTTGCTGTACCCACTCCTATTAGACAAGTGATCATTGTAGACAGGTTTTTGATATAGAAAAGTTGTAGACAGGTGGCTACTACAGACAGGTTGTTACATTTGATAAGTGGTCATTGGGTCAGTGGTCATCATAGATTGGTGGTCATTGTAGACAAGTAGTAACTATTGACAGGTGGTCATGATCCATACTTTAGACAGATGTACAGTTAGTCTCTCTTAAAAGAGAACTTTGACTGTGTTTTTGTTTCTACTTACCCTAATGAAATCATCTGCTCTGTTCTTGTTGATACTTTGATGTCTCAGAGTAGTTATCTAACACACTTCACAGTTGTATCCTTATTTATGTTTCCCTTTTTTACATTACTATAATCAATTTTTATTGCTTATTACACCCTTAGACTGCCTATTGTGAATGCTCCAGTCAACAGAGACAAGGTGTGTAAGCCAATGACCTTGACTGATGGTAGACAGGTGTACAGATGTCCTTTCTGTAGTAAAGACTTCCTCTCCTACTCGGACATCAACAGGCACATGGACTTCCATGAGGGTTTGTACCAATTTGTTACACTTCAAAACAGAAGAAAATTTTTTTTTAGAGAATGATCTTTTCCTTTCTCACTTTTAATGCTGTTTTGTGAATTTGCTGTTGCCTTTTGTCTTTCCTGTTCAGGGTGGAAAAATTAGGTAATGACTCTTGTAACTATCCAATGACCATACCTAGGAACAAGTCAATTATGTTGAAGTTTTTAGTTTGTGTTGTTTGACGTTATGCTCTACTGTCATTTCATTTAAATAACAGATATCCGACCATATAAATGCAAGTACTGTGACTACTTTGCCAGAACTAACAGTCAACTCAAGGTCCACATGATGAGGCATCAAGGTATGTTACAGTTAATTGATTTGGTGAAAAGATGTAAACAGTTTATTTGATTGAGTGAATTCAAGGTTTGATAAGGTGAAATCAATGTTTGATTGGGTGAATTAAAAGTTTTTAGTTTATTTGATTGGATGAGTGAAATTAAAATTTTTATCTGTTTATTTGATTATGTGAAATCAAAGTTTTCTTGGGTGAAATCAAGGTTTTATATAGTTGATTTGATGGAGTAAAATAAAGGTTTTCAACAGTTTATTGATTTTAATATGTATTTTTTTAATGGTGAGTCATTTCTTGTGAACTTCATGCAGAAAATTTCTGCTGAATTTTGGTGAACTTTTATTTATAAACAAAGCATGATGTCTGATATTTGATGGAAAGTATGTATTTTTTAGGTATACGAGAGTTCTGCTGCAAGGTGTGTAATTATAAAGGAGTAACACAATCTGACTTAAATCGTCACATGAAGTCCCAAATTCACATACTAAAGTCTCGCAATGAGTGTAACCACTGCGGTGAAGGTTTCGTTACACAGAAGAATCTGGAGAAGCACCTGGATGGAAACTGTATTGTCAAAATGACCAAGATGGAGGACACTTCTGATTTTTCTTGAAAATTTGGAATCCTGAAAAATTTCATTTTAAGATCTTAAACATGCCAATTATACCTCACTATTCAGAAGGAAAGTTTTAAAAGAGATATTTTTCAAGTGATACTGTATCACTGATTTATCATAAGGAAGAATCAAATGTATTATGAAAAATGTATGCCAAGTTACAGGAATTGCCTCTTGTTTTATTTCTTTTGAAATCTGGGGGGAAATGTTGGGGCACCTCATAGAATTAAGATTCAGTAGTTTACACAACTCAACAAAATTAATAGAAATTAGAGACACAGATAATCTACTGGGAAAAACAAAAAAGAATTTGAACCTGTAAAGGGATGTAATTAGGAGATTTTATGTTGGTTGCGGAGAAAGATTGAACTTGTTGCTTTTGCTACCATTGGACTTGTTTGAGTTATAATCAAGTGTGTATATTAGTAGAATGAATGTTTGTTATAAGCAGCATTGTGGGAGGGATCCTTGTTATTCAAATAGAGGCATTGACAGATTGGGATTGTGAAAAAGTATGCTCAATTTAATTTTGTGAATTTGCTACATTTGTATTGTATTAACAATTTTTGTTATGTTAAAAATTTTTTTTTTTTATATTATGATGTGGACCAATTATTCTTTTAAATACTATACAGATAATTTGTAAATACAAAATATGGACTAAACTGAAAAATCTTGATATATAGTGTGTACATAGAAAAGACACTACGTCAAACTATATTACAGGTACAGTACTCTATTATAGGTACTGAAGAGCATGCCACATACCTCCTATCAAACAGATTACTCGGCAGTAAAACTTGTGTAACCACCAGGGGCCTTCTGTATCTATAGAATGATTGGTTCGTGTAGCATTAAATGCATTTGTTGGGGGATGAATCCTGGTCAAACTGGGATATTCAAGAAATGTTCAATTTGAAGTCTTCAAAATCTTTTGAAATGCCTGCCACCAGGTAGCATTTTACAATTAAACTCGCCCCAATTGTTCATAAACAATGTTAGTCATATGTTTTGGAATTTTATATATGAAGCCATAGCTATGCCCAATTCCACCTCTCCCACTCACATTGATAACTCTTATACTGAAAAATTTCATGTACCAAAATTTCTGTAATTTCACCTGTGATTTTTCCTTCCTTTTTTGTGATTTTTAAGGATGGAAAAATTTAAAAGAGGAGGTCTTCCTACGATTTTTACTTATCTTGGGACCAAAGTTTTTCAGATAATCTCCGAAGTAATTTACCACTCTGTTTTTCTATTTGCAATGATTTTTATATATGAATATATTTTTCATCGATATGAATGGACTTCCTAACTAGGACCGTTTTCATGTTTCTATACAAAGGTATTAAAGATGTAGCTTAAACTGGGACCATTTTCATGTTTCTATACAGAAGTACAAAGGACAAGACTAAAACTGGGACTGTTCTCATGTTTCTATACAGAAGTACAAAGGACACGGCTAAATCTGGGACTGTTTTCATGTTTCTATACAGAAGTACAAAGGACAAAACTAAAACTGGGACTGTTTTCATGTTTCTATATAGAAGTACAAAGGACAAGACTAAAACTGGGACTGTTTTCATGTTTCTATACAGAAGTATAAAGGACAAGGCTAAAACTGGGACTGTTTTCATGTTTCTATACAGAAGTACAAAGGACAAGACTAAAACTGGGACTGTTTTCATGTTTCTATACAGAAGTACAAAGGACAAGGCTAAAACTGGGACCATTTTCTTGTTTCTATATAGAAGTACAAAGGACAAGGCTAAAACTGGGAAAGTTTTCATGTTTCTATACAGAGGTATAAAGGACCAAATCTTTGTTACTCATTTGTTGATTTTTTGTTAATTACCTGCAGTTACAAGAAAAAAGGGTTTGTGACGGCAGTCTTTACTGCCCCTTCTGTTGCATTTGTACTGTTAATTGTTTGTATGTTAGAACTAATGTAACACCTTAGGGTAAATACAACCTTGATTAGTCATATGTAGTTAGAATTATTAAACCTGAGGGGTATGATCATTCCAATTGTTAAAATATCTGTATTAATATTGATGTTAACCTCTTGAAAGAGCAGTTCGGTTATTTTTTCTTAGTGTAAATGAATGAAATTGTACAGAGAGATTTCAAATCAGTTTAACTTTTTGTATGTGTTTGCATGTGTACTTCTTTCTAGCATTTTAAAAACACAGTGGATACATGTACTTTCTCATTTTCACTGCAATTTTTTTTATTATGCATTTCTTGTAAAGTCATAAAATGCTGTTTGTATAACATTAGAGCATCTTGAAAGATTTCTCTAAATGTACAAAAACTTACAGAAGACATCTTTGAAGAAGACAATGCCTTCAGTTTACTTTGATTGCTTACAAGGCCAGTCAGTATTGTTGTTTAAAAAGAAACCGTCAAATGGTTTAATTTACTAATTAGTAATTGCAAACTCTCTTAAAGTGACGGTGGAGATGAATCGACTTAGCATGCCACCCTAACACACTCCTTTGATGATGGAGATGAGTCGACTCAGCATGCCATTCTGACACACTCCTTTGATGGTGGAGATGAGTTGACTCAGCATGCCACCCTGACACACTCCTCTGATGATGGAGATGAGTTGACTCAGCATGCCACCCTGACACACTCCTCTGATGGTGGAGATGAGTTGACTCAGCATGCCACCCTAACACACTCCTCTGATGGTGGAGATGAGTTGACTCAGCATGCCACCCTGACACACTCCTTTGACTTTGTGTCGTTCAACTCGTGATATTATGAATTATATTCATTGTTTTATTATTCAAAGAGTTTATGTAGCATACTTGTGTAGTCTGTTACTTGTTGGGCAGTAATCCCTGTCAAAGTGTTTAACCCTGTTGCACTACATGTTTTGTTTAATTCCTGTCAACATTATAACTATATACATACGTTAATTAGTATTCTAGTGTAGTTCTCAATTAATTCTTATATACCTTTATAATTGATTATGTAATTGTTGTACAAAGTTGTTTTTGTTATTTTAGATTTCAAATTTGTTTTGTATTACATGTATATGAATTTATCATTACAGTTTAAAATTGCCAGGTCTTGTAATGAAATCTGTATCTTTCTGTATATAAATATTTTCTGTAGTTGTGAGTAGATATCCAAATATTTTTATTTGACAATTAATATGTATATATATTTTAACTGAAAATATTGCCAAAAAAATGGGTTGTCTCCCATGATGGATAAATTGTATTGGGATTTCTTTCAGGTTGATATCAGTGTCAAACATGAACAAAACTGAATGAAGTCATTTTTTTCTCATATTTTCTTTTTATTTGCAGTATTTTCCCAGATGAAATACAAATTATCAGTCTGATTAATAAAAATTTACAAAACCTTTTTGTACTGAAAATGTCACGGTTACAGGAGATTGTTACAATTCATCGACTTTTGGAATCCCTTGGTCAGAAATTATTTTAATTGTTTATTTTGGAAAAAATATGCTCAAAAATAAAATATCTTCCACCTGTTATTGACCTTTGGCCTGTAATCAACCTTTAAGCATCTCTTCACAATGTAAACAGATTTTATGGCAGTTGAACTAGGTGACAGAAGTGAGGATAGTAGGTTTGTGATAAGATACAAAAATCTTTGTTTTGTTGAGATAAGGACAAGGTAATAAATAACTGATCAATTGAACCAATAATCAAGCATTATGATAATGATTAGCAAAACTTAACAAGCATCAGCATACATTTGTTTTCTCAGTGGTGACAGAATTATGATCGATAAGTGGCTGATATATGATAAAGCTGTATACTAGATCCTGCTTGAATTGAACAAAACACATAATACAGCTTTGTGGTATGATTACTTGGTGAAATCTGTTTTAGATTTTGTGATTGGTTAACATTGTGTTAATACGTTCCGTTACTGCCCTGTGTTGAGTCAGTTATGTTTGTAAAGTCTATGATTTAGAATGTAGGTAGATAAATGCACAGTAATGTTTGGACATTAGTTCAAAAATGGTAAACCAGCCAGATTGAGAGGAATGGACAGTTTTAAAGTAGAATGAAATTTTGCTATGCTGCAAATATTTTGTCAGGTAATTTTTTGGTGTTTTATTATTTATCATATGTTTAAAGAATAAAAGTAGGAGATTCTGAAACAGACCAGGAGATAAAATGATAGGAAGATTATGGAGGATTGTCCTTATTGTTCAGACTAAGAAAGGAATCAAACACTGAACAATAGAGAAAATGTTGTTTTTAAGTTGTTATCGAGTTAAAGTGAAGAAGACAATTTTCTGTGACAAGTTAAAATCAAAAGCAGTGTACATGGATGTCAGCATGTGTGATATTTTTTAATGTTATTGTATTCCATTCTATAAATGGTTTTATTCTAATGATTTTATGAAATTGTATCTAGACATTGCACAATATTCCAGTACTCATATGGTTATTTCATTGCTGTAGCATGTTTTGGAAGTTATGGTGAATTTACAAGTACAAATGAGAAGGGAAGATTTTAATCAGGTTTTAAGTCTTGGTATTATATAAAACATTTGTTTCACTGACTTAGAAATTTCTGATTCCTCACATTATTATGGTGAAAATTAATGATTAATTAGTAAATAGGAATGACCAATTTGTTAGTCATAAATTATCATACATAACAAAGGTTTTGAATCCTGTGTACAGAATAAGGACGTTTTAAGGCCTCTTTCTGGTCCTGTTTTACTTCCCCTTGCCAGTTACAGTGGTGTCTGTGATTGGTCTGTATGTAAAGCAGTTTGTATACACTCCTCAAAAAGAATAACTAAACCTTGGTTAAACTGATTTATGGTTTTCTAGAATAAAACTTTAGAAAAAGGGAGCATAGAGTTGTTTTGGATTGTATGACTGCTAGTGACAAGGCATATCAATTTTTTCCCAAAAAATGATATGTCAATGGTTGAAAGACACAGGGTTGAAAACCAGGAAATTTTCCTTTCCCTCCTTGTTATGTTTTTTTAAATTTTAAAGTGAATATCTTTATAGATAACTTCTTTCACTATGTTACCATTTTTGTGTGTCAGTCACAGTACACATGG